ACATGGCTTTATATAGCCTCAAAATGAAACTATTAAAGGCATTCCAAAAGTTGTAACATTCATACTTAATGACCATAATTAGCCATATGTAAATGTAACCTAGAGTAAATAAAATGTCTTAAAATACAATACTCTAAATTACTCTAAATTGTAACCCACCCAAAATTTATAACCATCAAACTTCATTCCTCTTCAATGTGACATGAATTGCAACCTCTTTTGATATTTTTGACAACATTTTCTTCACATCTTCATTGAAGTATATTGTATTAATGATTTCTCTTGGTTCATATCATTCTCCACTTCTTCAAGAGGATTCGTCCTCGAATCTATTTGTGAAACTTTGCTGCAAAACATAAGATATGAAAATACAAAGGCCCTCACAACAATCTCTCATGTGTATACACTCAAGGATTTGTTTTTTTAGGCCACTCTGTTTGCACTCATTTACACAAATGAAGCTCTCAATCTCACCTCTCAAAATTTTGAATTGAGCAAAGATTGAATTTTGAACTCTGGGTCGATTAAAATCTAAAAAGATGAAAGTAAATAAAAATCAAATTGAAAAAAAATGCAAAGGAAACATATATCCGATCTTGAGCCTGATGCTCTGATACCAAATGATACGATAAGGAATCAACTACAAGGGGAGTAAGATTCGGATTACCTTGTCGATCGAATATCTCAAGTCAAGAACACTTGATTGAGATTCGAATCACTCCACAAGCAAGATCGATCATGTCTAGCTTGAATGATTCTTGTTGATCAAATATCTCAACACAAGAACACTTGTTTGAGATTCGAATCACTCCACAAGCAAGATTGATCATGTCGAGCTTGAATGATTCTACATGCAACCTAAACTACATAGAGTTGCAAAGAAACTCAGCCATTGGCTAAGAAAAAGCACAAATGCTTCTTTTAATATATTTTCCAAGTCTCCCTTACAAATACAACATACATGGCTTTATATAGCCTCAAAATGAAACTATTAAAAACATTCCAAAAGTTGTAACATTCATACTTAATGACCATAATTAGCCATATGTAAATGTAACCTAAAGTAAATAAAATGTCTTAAAATACAATACTCTAAATTACCCTAAATTGTAACCCACCCAAAATTTATAACCATCAAACTTCATTCCTCTTCAATGTGACATGAATTGCAACCTCTTTTGATATTTTTGACAACATTTTCTTCACATCTTCATTGAAGTATATTGTATTAATGATTTCTCTTGGTTCATATCAGGTTTTACCCCATCTGGTTGATCTACAAGTTCCCAGACTGAATTGAAGTACATTGACTCCATTTCAAGATTCATGGCTTTGATCCACTGATCTCTATCTTCATCATTCATTGCCTGTTTATTGGTTAATGGATCCTCAACGCCATCATCAGGTATGATGACCTGTGTTTCTACGAAACCCAAGTAACGATCGGGTTGAGTTATAACCCTCCCACTACGTCGAGGCATTCTCAACTCTTGAGAAGGATGTGATTGACCAAAAGTGCCAGTTCCATCAACAACTCTTGCTGAAGGACAAGCCTGATCGACAACTCTTTTTGTCTTATCAGTAGCTTCTTTAGAAATCTCACTCAATACTGGTTTGCTGCGAGGTTGATAATTTCTTACGTGGTCTTCCTCTAAGAATGTAGCGTTTGTTGATGCAAACACTCTGTTTTCTTGAGGGTCGTAAAACAGACCACCTTTCGTCTCTTTGAGGAATAGGCATAATTTTGAACGACGTTCTAATTTCTTGGGGTTTTGCACCAACACGTGTGCTGGGCATCCCCAAATCCTGAAGTGACGTAAACTACCTTTTCGCCCTCTCCATAACTCATAAGGTGTTTCTGAAACACTCTTAGAAGGAACCATGCTCAAAATGCATGCAGCAGTCTCCACTCCATGTCCCCAAAACGAATCAGGTAATTGAGCGAAACTCATCATAGACCGAACCATGTCTAACAGAGTTCTATTTCTCCTTTTTGATACACCGTTCTGTTGACGCATGCCAGGGGCTGAGAGTTGAGACGTTATTCCATGTTCTATCATATAGTCCTGGAATCTTAAGTCCATATACTCTCCACCTCGATCTGATCGAAGTGTTTTTATAGTTTTTCCTCATCGATTCTCAACTTCAGTCTTATACTCTCTGAACATTTCAAGAGCTTCGGACTTGTGATGCATTAGGTAAATATAGCCATACCTTGAATAATCATCGATAAAACTGATGAAATATTCATACCGTTCCTTTTCTCGTTTTAAATTTTATCCGATTTTTATCTTCGATTTTATTTTATTTGTTTTCGATTTCGTCTTTTTAGTCACGATTCGGTTTTTCGAAGCCTCGAAAATTGAGTCCTGACAATAACATAATTATAAAATATTCAAAATCGATTTTTATGAAATGTAAAGTTAAATAATAATTGGTTATTTGAATGATTAAAATATGTTTTAAAATAATTTTGAACTTGAAATGATTTTAACAATTTTGAAGTTACCCTTATGTTCTAAAACGTGGTTTGATATGAGTTTTAGTTTAAAAATTAAAAATATAGCATTCATTATTATTTATCACAATTTTAAAACTTTTCCCAACCTTCCTAACTTTGACTATTAACATACTCACATTCTGTTCTTTTATTTGAGGTTTTTTTTGGACCGGTTATTAAAGTATTTTCCCTATTATAATTAATAATAACAAACCTTAATTATTTAATTAATTACCATATATAAGATAAATTTAAAAGTTTATATAGTTTTATTTATCTCATTTATTCCAAGATAATTATTAAAATAGAATTATAAATATTCTGATATGACATTATTTAGATCTAAATTTGATTTATAGTTATTCAAATAAATAAATGTACGTGATTATAAATGGTTAATTAATCATCGAGCAATACATTAAATTTACTTAATTAGTTAAATTAAATAAATGATTTTATCTTTAATAATCGAAATACTATTTTATTATTTTTTTATTTTTTAATTACCATACCTAAGTTAATTTTAAAAGTTTACATAGTTTTATTTAATTCAAAGATAATTATTAAAATAGAATAGAAATATACTCCTATTTAAATATTTTTGTTTACCTTGTTTAGATTAAAACTAAATTTAATTTAATAAAGGGTTGGAAATATGAAAATTTAATACGATCCGAGTAACTAGAAACAACTAAATAAATACTTAAATAACATTCTATTTCTATATTAAAAAAACAGTGAGCGTTACCAAAAACACGGCCATCCTTTCCTAGTTCTACGTAATAATTTCGATTTCCACGTCATTATCTCTCTCAGGCGTATAAATAAAACAAAGAAATCTAAAATCCATGCAATCCCATGGCGCCTACCATATTTATCGTTCTCGCACTACTTTCCATCGCCGAGTCCACCGCCGGCAAAGGTGGTGGTCTCAAGCTGGAACTCATCCAATGCCGACTCTCACCAGGCAACGTTTCACCGATGGCAGCCAAATCACAAATTTGGCTGGAAACCAGCAAATTTATAGTGAAAATCGCCGTCGGAACGCCGCCAACGGAGGTGCATGCAATCCTCGACACTGGCAGCGATTTATTTTGGGCTCAGTGTCGTCCATGTGCGAAATGTTACCGGCAAACGAATCCGATTTACGACCCTTCGAAATCGTCAACCTTTCAAACCCTTTCTTGCAAGTCGCCGCAGTGCCATTTGAGGGGGTCCGGTGCGGCGTGCTCCGGCACCGACACGTGTAAGTACGGCTATGGGTATGGAAGCGGATCTACGCAGGGAGAATTGGCGACTGAAAAAATGGCTGTTTTCGAGGTCTGGAGCGACGACGCCGTTTTCGGGGGTGGTGTTTGGTTGCGGACATAATAATAATGGAACGTTTAATGCCAATGAAATGGGATTGATTGGATTTGGAAGAGGAGGGATTTCCTTCATTTCTCAGGTATATATATATATATATATCTTATCACTTTCAATTATTATTAATATTTTTAAAAACATTATTAGCATTAAATAGTGAAACCAACCCTTAATTATATTCTTATTCAAATAACTATAAAGTTCAAAACCTTATAGTTAACGTAAATTCATATTCACAGATAGGTCCATCGGTCGGCGGCAGAAAGTTCTCCCTTTGTCTGATGCCATACAACACCGACCCGAGAATCTCAAGTAGTCTCTCTATCGAGTCGGTTTCTGAAGTTAAAGGACCCGGAGTCATTACAGCCCAACTCGTTCGAACACCCGACCAGACATCTTACTCTCTCACTCTCACAGGAATCTCCGTCGGAAAAACCCTTGTTCCGTACAGTACGTCGGGACCTCCGGCCAAGGGGAACGCAGTTCTCGATACCGGCACGCCGCCGACTCTCCTCCCCAAAGAATTATACGGACGATTGGCTGCCGAAGTTCAGCGGCATATCCCGTCGAAGCCCGTTGACAATGATACCCTTTGCTACAAAGATAATTTGGGGGATTTGGTGACGACTCTGCACTTCGACGGCGGCGTGGATCTGCGATTGAGTACGGTTCAGACTTTCAATAAGATGTCGGATGGGTCCTTTTGCTTCACCGCGATGGGCGTTGACGACAAGGACGCACTCATCGGGAACAGTATGATGGCGAATTTTTTGGTTGGGTATGATATTGACAATATGACGGTGTCGTTTAAGCCCACTGATTGCACAAAAATTGGTTGAGATTTTTTGGGCATATGAAAACAATGCGCTAGTTTATAACTATTATTACTTTTCTCGTAACACTTTTGATGTGAGGTTTAGTTTGTTTTATTCATAAAATTTGGAAAGCATTTATTAATATATGCGCAACTATATTCTATAATATTCCTTTGATTTCTTTTTAGTAATTTTGAGTAACAAATTTTAAAGTAAAATTGGACATTAATTATTAATTATTTTTATTTAAGTTGTGAAATAATATAATTAAATTTACTATAATTCAAGAGACCTTTTACGATTTCCAAAATTTAGGCACAATGATGGAAATCGACGCCGGAGATCTCAGAAAGGAGATTAGGGTTTTGAGGTTGGAGGAGAAGATTTGATAAAAAATCGACACCGGAGATCTGAGAATCCTCAACCTAAACCTTCAGTAGTCCGAGGCAAGGTGCTTTCACGAATCGCACCTTCCTATTTCATCGGAAACGTCTAAGAACTTAAGATTCATCCGCGAATGTCTAGATCGAGATGTTTATCGAGATTTTGGTGTGCTAGTCTAAGAACTTAAGATTCATCCGCGAATGTCTAGATCGAGATGTTTATCGAGATTTTGGTGTGCTAGTGAAAGAACTTAAGATTCATCCGCGAATGTCTAGATCGAGATGTTTATCGAGATTTTGGTGTGCTAGTGATGTTTTTTAGTGATTCTTGGACTTTTACCCTCAGGAGTGTGATCTTCGTAAGTTTTGGAGTGAAGGCGGTCGAGATTTCCGTTCGAATCGGAGTTTCAAGAAAACACGATTTTCGGTAAGAACTCGTATTTTTCTTCAAATTTGAACTCGGGCCACTCTCACCCATGCAAATCTAAGGATAATTCCGAATAGATAGGAGTTCATAGTTAGCTCAAGATTAAGATCGAGTTACCTAGGTCATCGAACGAAAAAATCAGTCGCAATAGTAAACGACATTATAAAGCGAGAGTGGTTTTCTTCATGGTCCGATCTTACGCAATACTCATTGCATAGGACGCCCCCACTCACATGTCTCCACATGTACAATTTAGTGTTTACATTGTTTATATCGTATACAAAAGTGGCCTCGTCCATAGTGTCTTTAGAATAAGGTACTCAGCCTTATCCATGTACTACAGATCATTTTGACTATATCCTTGAACTTGATCCACTCGTATGTCTCTACATATAGTTCAAGTAATCATACTATAGCCAGAGTGTTCTTAGTTTATTGGATTTAGATTAATGATTGTAACATTCAGTTTACTAAATAACAATCTTTACTGAATAAAAATCAATAATAACTTTATTGAAAATAGAATATGTTTTTGTTTACAAACTGTTAGTTTTAGGACATAAAACCCAACACATAGCTCTTCCATATTCCATAAATGGGCAAGACGCCGGTACTACATGCGAGAAGTATATTAGTTTACTGAACAACGAATTAGATCATCGATTGATTTGTATGCGCAATGGAATTGGAGTGGATAAAGCATTACTCCAAAAAAACAGGCATCCCATGAGTATACATGACCTCACTACCTGTATAAAGTGTGCATCTTTGTTAAGGGAGTAGGTCAAAGCCTTTTATCAAAGTCAAAAGTAGGAATCCAAGAAAACAAGACCCCTAAGAATGTCTTGTAAACTAATTATTCGATTTGAAGTTCCCAGTAAGGCTGCTAGAGACATCACTAAACCACCCAAGGATGTCTCTTGCAAAGAAGAATTCGTTGAGATTTTTTCCAGAACCCCAGTCCAACCTACCCGACTAATATAATCTAGAATCCACTCTCCGCCTTTACTTAACTTAGTAGTAGGCGAATTCACAGGGCACGTTCCAAGATCTCCCACAACGAGAACCTAAGACATGGTTGATTGATAGTAAGTTGAAAGAATAAATGGATCGATCATAGGTTGGTTGAATATTGAGTTCTGCTTAGGCTACGTGTTATGTTTACGCGCTACGAAGTCGGCACATAGGATCTGAGACGGGTTTCATCTCCTTCGAGAACACCTTCTTACTAGTACGGTAAAAGTTTGATGCAAATAGACCGAGAAAAGAAGAGTTCTTTATAGATGAGTTGTAGTCGATTCGCCCCTTATGTTATGGCTCGTCTCGCGCTTAATCACTCGCGGGATTCAGATAGGGGGGCAGCAAGTCTTTTCTAAAAAAACTCGCAGTCCTACCCTTATATATATACATATATGATTTTTTAGATACTAACTCTTTCATTGGATTGGACAAAGAACTTCTATAAAGATCTTTCCACTCATTCATCATACTCAAAGTCGAAGTCACGTCCGGCATGGGGGTCTCGAAAAAAAAACGAGAATCAGTGTCGTGGTGGTACTACGAGATAGCGATTTTTTGTATAGAAGAATAGATCCGTAGACCTATTGATTGACCATAGATGCGACAGCTATCTAAGAGAATCTCAGTAGTTCTTCTATCATTCAAGGGCTAAGGGATTCTCTGATCAAAGTAATATAGAGATTCTTTTTCTTTATCTGGTATGTAGCTCTGCGAGCTAGGATCGCATGATCGGGGCAAAAACGAAGATAGGATCATCATCATGGCCCTTTTCTTCTTTCTTTTGTTTGTGTCCGGCTTTAGTTAAAGAGAGGTGTGTGTGTTTTTTTAAGGCTTATCCGGGGGCTGCAACTCTGGGGCATCCAATTCTTCTTCTTTCTTTTCCTGTGGATCTCACATCGAGAGCAGGTTCTTCTTGTTCAGGGTCATCAGATGAGAGATCTTCCTCTGATTTTGAGAAATCGGTCAAGCGGGGGGCTACCCTCTCCTCTTCGAGTCGAGCTACTTCCTCCCTCTCCTCACCTCTCGAGATCTATATATAAACTCTTCCCTAGAGGAGAGTACAAGCTCCAGGATGAGTATGTCCTGGATTCTCGAATTCATTCTCATCCTGATCCACCATGGAATTTTCTAAATCTACAAAAACAATGATGAGAGGAAAGAAAAGATTATCGATTAATAGGGAGAGGGACGAACCTACTTTACCGATAGGGAGATGGCTCGTACTGATCTTTGAGAAGATCACAAGGTGCTAATGGGAAAAGGGGGATCCATAAATTTTTTTGAAAGGGATGCCCCGAATCTGACATGTCGCTTGCTGAAAAGAAAAAGTGAATTCCTCTATTTGATGTCGATTCATTTACACTTCCATTCTTTGTAGAGGAAGGCTAACTGCTTGCTAGCTGAGAGCTGTATGAGCGTTAACGTCCACGTACGGCTCTGTGAGAAGGGCGGTGGACAGAAATGGCCTCGTTGTACCTCACTCTCGTCCTCAATGGGGTCTGCTTTTTTTTTTTGGGAGATTATGCCAATATAATCTTAATGAGGTGCGGGGCTTTGCATCTGAGATTCGTTGGGCTTCCCTCTTCAGGGGCCTGCATCCCAGCGTTTTTGTGCAATAAATGTTAGAGGAAGGGATATTGAAAGAGATAGAAAAAGGTAAAATAGATGAAAGCTGTCGTGCTTTATTATTGTTTGTTGACTCAATACTTAAAAAATTACACAATTCCAATATTTATAGGCTTATACACTAACCAAAAATAGTAAATTATGGAAATCTAAATAAATTCAAATCTACTAATAATCTTCTAAAATCTTGGTACTTTGATTACTTTGAATCATATCTCAACTACTTTGAATCATATCTCAACACTCTCCCTTGATTCAAAGTTGCAGATGCCAAATACAAAGCTTTTCTTTTGACAAAGCCTTCGTAAGTATGTCTGTTTTAACCCGTACAATGTCTGTCTCAGGTTGTATACCTTTGTTTCTTTGTCTTCCTTTATGAATCCCTCTGGTTGTGTTACATAGACCTCTTCTTGTACATCTCCATAAAACTTTTTGTTTGGTACGTCAACCATATCCCATGTTCCATTTTTCTCAATGAACTGCATCTCTACTGCCATGACTTTCTTCCACTCTTCTTTTTCAGTTGCTTCTTCATAATTCATAGGGTCTGAAATAATAAGAGCAAATTGACATAATGCATATATGTCAACTAGAGATTTATACTTCCTTGGAGGTGTCTCATCCAAAAGTTCTTCAAGAGAAGAATTGCTATTTAGTGATGCTGAAGAGGATGAATTTGTCACATTTTGTGTAGTAGTGGAGGCACTAGGAGATGCACTAGAGTTGATCCTTGCTTCTTCATTTGGAGAAACTTCAACTGTAATCTTTTGCTGCTCCGGTTCTTTATTCCAATCCCAACTCACGTTTTCATTAAATATTACACCCCTTCTAACTAAAAGCTTTTCACTAAGGGGGTTGTATAATTTATACACCTTTGATTGAGTACAATAGCCAATGAAAATGCATTTTTTCAGATTTTTCATCAAGCTTTTGACGAGTTTGAGGAAGTTTCAAAGCATAAGCAACACAACCAAAAATTCGTAAATGACTTACAGATGGTTTCCTTCCATGCCATGCTCCATAAGAAGTTCGATTCATAATAGCCTTTGTTGGTGAGAGATTTAATAGATAAACAGATATTGCTACAGCTTCTGCCCAAAATTAGTTTGGAAGTCTCCTTGCTTGTAACATACTTCTTGCCATCTTCACAATAGTTCGATTTTTTCGTTTAGCAATTCTATTTTGTTCTCGAGTGTAGGGAGTTGTCTTCTTCTTCACAAAACAGATTGAAATCTTTAGATATGAACTCGCCACCTCTGTCTGTGCGAAGAACTTTAATGTGACAGCCACTTTTGTTCTCCACCATAACTTTAAAAATTTGAAACTTCTTTAAAGTTTCTAACTTCGGTTGTAGGAAGTAAACCCAGCTCATGCGACTATAGTCATCAATGAACAGTAAAAAGTATTTACTCCACCTGAATTAGTTTGCATTAACTTCGTTTGCATTGACCCATATAAATTAGCATGAATTAGTTCTAGACAATGTGAATCTCTTTTAACTTTTCCAACACGAAAGAACTTCCTATAAATGCATCCTTCACATAAATTAGTTGAATCAATTCTTGGTAATCCAAAAACTATACCTTTATCCTTGAGTATTCAGGCCCTTCATATGAAGATGTTCATATCTGAGATGCCATAATGTTGAGTCATCTTTTTTGCTAGCAGTAAGGGAAAAATCCTCCATGTTAGGAACATCTAGTGGAAACATCTTATTTGAAGTCATGGAAATTTGAACTTTACGGCCTGATTTCTTATGTGTAATGACACATGTGTTGTCATCAAATAGAACGAAATGTCCTCTAGTCATCAATTGTCCAACACTCAATAAATTGTACCCTAAATTAGGTACAAATTGAACATTATCTAATTGTTTTATCTTACCATGACTGGTTTCGACTTTCACTGTACATTTTCCCTCAACTTGCATCTCTTTTGTATTTCCAAGTTGCACCTTAATTTTTTGCATCTCATCAAGTTCTTTGAATAAGGATTTGGTGCCTGTCATATGATTCGAGCATCCGCTATCAACAAACCCCAAGTCACTTTTTTTTGAATTAGTATCCATACACGCCATAAAAAGGTTTTCTTCTTCTTCTTCATTCTCTACTGCAAAATTCATTCGTTGATCTTTATACCAACAATTAGCTTTTGTGTGCCCATACATCTTGCAATGGTTGCAATGGTAACATTGTATGACATTCCTTTGTTCATTGAATTGTCTTTGTCCATCATTTCTCCATCTACCCGTATTACTGCGACCACCATGGAAGCTTCGAAATCTTCCTCTTCCACGACTTCTACCTACTAAATGAATATTGAATTGTCTTTCATTGCCTTTGTTGTTGGCTGTCTCCTTCACTTGTAGTGTCTTTTCCTCATTCCTTTCTGATGATCTATTGATTCTTGCCTCATGAGCCTAAAGCGAGCCCATCAGTTCATCAATAGAGAGTATTGATAGATCCTTAGCTTCTTCTATGGAAGCCACCACATGGTCAAACTTTGGAGTTAAGCTTCTCAACACCTTTACAATTGTTTCATCTGAAATTTTCTCTCCATAGGTACGCATCTGATTGACTATTTCCATTGTTCTTGACAAAAATTGGCAATTGGTTCGCCATTCGTCATGAGCAGAGTTTCAAAATCACGTCTTAGAGATTGCAATTTCACTATTAAGACCTTTGATTCTCCTAGAAACTCTTTTTGTAGAATTGACATGCTTGCTTTAATGTGGTTGCTGCTACAATTCGTGAAAAAATAGTCTCATAAACTGCTTGCTGAATAATGAATAGAGCCTTGGCATCATTTTTCTTGGTTTCTCTTAGTCTCTCATTTTCTTCTATTCTGGGTTCTAATACATCAATAAACCCGTGCTCAACCACTCATATTTCTCACCATTAAAGATTGGTAACAACGGTGCAGGAAGAAAAACCAGCTACTGCCATTTTTGTTTTGTAAAGAAAATAATCACTCACTCTCGTGTTGGCATTAACTTGGCTCTGATACCAAATTTGTTGGAGGAAGGGATATTGAAAGAGATAGCAAAAGATAAAATAGATGAAAGCTGTCGTGCTTTATTATTGTTTGCTGACTCAATACTTAAAAAGTTACACAATTACAATATTTATAGGCTTATACACTAACCAGAAATAGTAAATTATAGAAATCTAAATAAATTCAAATCTACTAACAATCTGTTGAGATATATTATTTATGGAATATATCTTAGATATTATATCTTAATATTCTTTACTTTATGATTTGATTTATAGTATATTTTATTTTNTTATGCATGGACCAAGAAGTAATCAGGGAGGATATTCACTTGTTCCAAATCAAATTGAATGGGACAAGTTACTAATCCTCGAGTCAATCATTGCGGTCTATTTCTAAATCATTTATGCATTGACCAAGAAGTGATCAGGGAGGATAGTCACTTGTTCCAAATCAAATTAAATGGGACAAGTTACTAATCCTCAAGTCAATCATTGCAATCTACTTATGAATTTTGCATCTTTCTTGGAAATTCAATAATTTCTTGAAAGTCTAAAAATGCAAACCAATCAAAGGCAGTCTATTTTTTGGTTTTGCATCTTTCTTGTAAATTTAATAATTTCTTGAAAGTCTAAAAATGTAAACCAATCAAAGGCGGTCTATTTTTTATGGATATTTTCACTACTACGAAGACAAAAGTGTTATTTACCTACACTCTCTTATCAAAGACAACTTGGGTGTTATTGACTACACTCGTAAAGACAAGTTGGATGTGATTGACATACACTCTTCAACTTGAGGGGGAATGTTGAGATATATTATTTATGGAATATATCTTAGATATTATATCTTAATATTCTTTCCTTTATGATTTGATTTATAGTATATTTTATTTTGTTCATAGTATTTAATTATTTTATATTTTCCTCATTTGTACGTATTAGTTGCTAGCTTGTATTCTATTTAAAGGATATCAATATCAATGATTTCTTATCTTATCATTTGATATCAGAGCTTCAGGCTCAAGATCTGATATATGTTTCCTTTGTGTTTCTTCTCAATTTGATTTTTATTTATTTTTATCTTTTTAGTTTTTAATCGACCCAGAGTTCAAAATTCGAATTTTTCTCTATTTAAAATTTTGAGAGGTGAGAATGCTTTCATTTGTGTAAATGAGNATCAGGGAGGATAGTCACTTGTTCCAAATCAAATTAAATGGGACAAGTTACTAATCCTCAAGTCAATATTGCAGTCTATTTATGAGTTTTGCATCTTTCTTGAAAATTCAATAATTTCTTGAAAGTCTAAAAATGCAAACCAATCAAAGGCGTCTATTTTTTGGTTTTGCATCTTTCTTGTAAATTTAATAATTTCTTGAAAGTCTAAAAATGTAAACCAAGCAAAGGCGGTCTATTTTTTACGGATAATTTCACTACTGCGAAGACAAAAGTGTTATTTACCTACACTCTCTTCTCAAAGACAACTTGGGTGTTATTGACTACACTCGTAAAGACAAGTTGGATGTGATT